ATCGCTCACAATAGGGGTGCCGTCAACAATCTGCTAGGTCGGTTGAAGATCCTCCGCTCTGAGGAAGAAGCCTACCGACTCTAGCTAAATTAATTATTTGGATTTTGACACACAATGCTTATCCCAGAGACTAAGTACACCAATGCATGAAATAACAACAATTTATAGAAGAGGAATTAGATAATTCTACCCACCCTAATAATTTTTTTTAACATAAGAAATGTGTCTGAACTCGTTGAAAGGTCTTCGCGGTAATACAAAAAAGGGGCAAACAAACCAACGACTACTTTACGCGCCAGCTTGAATTCTCTTAGGATAGTGTTGGCAATCTTGATAAGAGAGAAGTCGTCCGCAAGATCACCTGCGAAGCCTTTAGCACCGTATATTGTGACCAAAAGGGGAATTTTGTCTCCACACGTATCCGCGGGCATCAACTAGCGGTGAACAGGCGTAACCATGTGTCCCAAGTGGCCATGCATAGCCTTGATATGGGGTACACCTTCGCATGGGACAAAACATATCCCTACACAAACAACCTCTGACGGCTGTTCGGTATTTGTTCGAACGTCCAAACTTTGCATCCAAAATGATTAAAATGTACTTTTTACTAATTCTTCTGTTAATATTTGCATCCATTGCCTTTCCGTTATTTTTTTACATACATTTGTTTTACTGTGCTCTTACTTGTGTACGCTTTGGTTATTTTTGGTTGCGTTTGTAACGCTAACCACGAAAAGGTCGTGCAGTGTACGATTAGCGCATTTCCATCATGATGATGTCTCCGGGATTTATGGCGCCGCCCGAGAAGAAACCAGAGAAACATGGTTTTTTTATGGAATTATATGAGGACCCGTTCAAATGGTATGATATAAATCATCCGCTGACATTTGCTTCATCGTAGGTCTCTTATCAAAAGCACGGCCTTCTTCGGCTTCGGGATCTTTACGTTCTTTGTAATTCAGTCCGAATTTAATGCACCTTCCGAGCCCCTTTAAAGGATCTTTTGATTTTTAATACAGCATTCGTTTGTACTCTGCCTTCTTTCTTCAATTTATTACCGCGACGCATCATTGGCTTGACGGGTTATTATTAGGATGCCCAAACCGACCGTCCATTTGTCACTTGAGTCACTTGAAAGATGTCGCTCTCGGCTTTCGGAGCGTCGTCGGCGGCACACGAAATTGCGTCAGTTAATACTACAGCATCTAACCGGCGAGGCTCGTGATCCTCCACTCTGCGATGATGGGGACACTTCCCTAAATGAGACGTTGTTCCGGCTCTACCTCTCGCGGCGTCTATCACAGAGCCTCGGACTCCATCACAACCGACTTCACTCATTCAACGAAAGCCCCAGATGGAAAAGCCTTGTTTTGTGAGCTCCCCGGCTTATTTAATCATACACTCTTGCCGATCGCATGCCTATTCCTCGTTTGTGATTCATGGGATCTTCCAGCCTTTTTCATACTACAGGATGCGTGTCTTTAATAGTGCTCATTGACAACTTATCCTTTAGAGGGGTTTTGTAAGACTTCGATTATCTGAGGGTTTCCAGCGTTCCTTAGGATACATTTTAATGGCCTCTTGCCTCGCCTATTCGTTGTAAGTCCTGATTTTGTCGTTTTCTTAAGTTAATCTCTTGTAGCGACTTTTGTGTCGAGTTTTTTGGTGGATCACAAGTCTTTTCGCGGCCCTAGAACTCCCTCTTAAAGCAAGTTAGTACTCTTATCCAGTTAGTATTCCTAAAAATAACTCTCCCCAGTCGTATAAGCCAGCCACGCGTCAGTGTGCATTCCCAACACTTGTCTCGCCGACATTCTTCCGCTGCAGGATAGCTACGAGGGATTCGGTTCATCGATGGGTTCCCCGACGTTGCTAGTATGCCGAACTATTTGTAATCATTGAGCGTGTTCTTCACGGTCCACTTAGTTCTCTGCTTTTGTGGAACGATGTTATCTGCGTGACGACACGCACCTGACGTTTACCATTTCACCGCAATATGTAGTTTGCTAGTTGGCCACGCCTCCCTTGTTCCTCGTAGCTTGAACATGCAAAAAATTTAGTAAAACATATTTGCCGTTTTGTAGGTGCTTTAGCATGTTTGATGTCTGAAAGTATATTTTATTTGCCGCTTCACGTTATCTTACCGCAGTCAGCCGTCCTTTTTGCAATAATTTTCCTTAATTAAATATAAAAGATAATAAGCAAATGCTGCTCCTCTTTATCAGCCTCTTCTGGCTATCGCATGTATGATAGTCCAACTGAGGGTAACTAGTTTATTTACTGGGAAGTCTAGCTACGGGCACACACATTTGAACTCCGTATCGATATACAGTTGTTTAAGTATGATTATATGAGATAAATTTAATATGATCTCACTGTTGTCTGTTGTTCCATGTAGTCGCCGATAAAGTTTGAAGGTGGAATGTTTGGGAATTGTCACTGGAAGTGCCTTTAGGTTGTTTTACTCCACCTAACTAGGATGAAAAGTCGCATTTTTTAAACCAAGGTAAACCACGGACGGCCTTATTTCCTCCGGGTTCCGGCCAGGCAAGACTAGCTTCGGAGACAGAGAAGGTCATATGAATCTCCTATTTGAGTAACTAGTTGTATATTTCCGACTTATTTTAAGAAAAACCTTAGATCTCCTTTCCTTGTTACTTAAATCCTTTTCTTCAAGGATCCTAAAACCCAGCTAATTGGAAATGACTTGATTGTGCATGCTTTTGCTTCGCATAAGCTTCGGCTTAGTTTTTTATCAGTGATTTTTTGTACTTTTTTTCTCAGGCCGGTCGTACGCCGACTAAAACCACCAGTTCTGTCTAAGTCGACCTGGAAACTTCTTCTACGGGGTGATGACCAGTCCGTGCCCGTAATTCTCTGGGATGGTTCGATCGTCAGAACACATAAACCTCAGACAAGTCCACACACCACGGACTCGGAACCCAAGGACTATACCGTCTCTTCGACCTTTCTTAAAGTGTGTTTTATACCTTGGAAGACACCTTACGGTGTCTGTGTGTTAACTTGAGAATGGTTAGCAATGATTGTGGCGGCCATCTTGAGTTGAAACTTATCGAGCGAGTTAAGTGCTGTTAACGAGAATACAACCAATCTTTGGTTACTGTTGTTATAACGATAACATCTGACGTGTGTCACCGTCGAATTACGCCCTGTTGAAATCCAGAAGGAAGAGCACAGTTGGAAGGGCGTAAATTTTGAATCCACTAAGAAGAGAGCTTATTGTGTACGAAACCCGGAGGAGCTATCTCAGGTGGCTGTTGCCACTAGTTCATCTCCAGGGCGCTCTTTGTCCCGCCTCGGGGGCAAGCCCCGGCATTGAAAGCGGACTGTAGTGTCCTCGCAGTCCGCGTGTGGTGTAACTCTCCCTGTGTCGGGGGCGACAGTGTTTTATAAAGGAGTGTCAAGTGCGCGCTCGCCTGTAGCCTGATTGGCGCATTGGGATAACTGTGACCAGTGGCGCGCGAGCAAGCGCGTGCATCTGTGTCCTCTCCAGAGGTTAAGGTCATCTCGCATGGACAGTCATCGCCTTTATGTGGTCAGAGCTAACAAACAAAGACACTGGGCTAGGCTCGACGCTTCAGGAAAGCCTCCAAATGTTGCTAGCACTTGGCCAGGCTACCGTCCTAACAACTATACTTTTGGAAATCTACCAACCTATTTGCCGTCAATAGGATCTTTCCAATTCAGCAACTGACATGCGCGGTACGGCCGTGTTTTACTGGTATCTGAGAAAATTTGTTAACAAACGTTGTCGTTCTAACCTGCTCATCGTTTTCAGCGAGCGGAATGAATGGACCGAATCAACTAACTCATTGTTTGGACAACCACATTACTGGTTTTGTTCTTGATGATTGGTGAAACCATGCTTGAAGACATCTAAGCTTTGCCGGCCAAAATCACTTATTACTAAAAGTTTTTTAGCCGGATACATGACCATTTATCCGTTTTTGGCTGACAGCATGGCAACGAAAGCCCGTCGCATCGGGCTCGTAAAAAAGGAATTCCGGCCTCGCTTCGTCGGTCAAAGCGAATAAGGAAGCGACAATGTAGCGCTGGTCATTCAAATTCAAGGCCCGCGAAGCAGCCATGATCGCTCTTTGCTTCACTTTGCCGCACTCGAATACTTAAATAAGCTCAAACATTCAGGTTTCTGTCCGAACTGTAGAAACCATGATTCGAATTCCCGGTGAATTCGGTACGTAGTAGACCACGAAAAATCTGACTAGAGGGTGTCTCGCTTTAGTAAAGGGTGTTGTTTCGAGACTTTATTAGGGTTAATAAGTTTATTATCGACTATAATTTCTGTTAAATGTCAGCTTTTTTGTTGTAGTTGGTGTCAGTGTTCCAAAGTTTTTTAGGACCTCAGCTAGCTGTAGGTCTTAAAAGACTGAAAATTGAATGCCCCTGCCTGGTCGTAATATCCTCTCCATATAAGCCTCTTAAATGCGCGTCATCTTCACTTTTCAGGGTACTCAAAGCGCCAATCCTCACAATGATTACTGCCAACACTTTGTGGATACTGGCGAGCGACCACAGAACTTCATAAGGGACACTGGTACGTTTGTTACAGTGTGTTTTTGCTTTTTTCTGTATATCATCGGAATTCCGAACTTAGTCTGGTTCAGAATATTCCCTAGTAACTTAAAAGCAGTTCTTAGTATCCATCTAGAACTGTCGTTTCCAGTGAACACACTTTGTTCATGCATACCACGATAAGTAAAGACTTGACAGAAAAAAATATATTGCGAGACAGAATTTCGACTACTATCAGACACTATAATAAAAAAAAACATGTGTAAAAACCAACTTTGCAAATGTCCGTTGGCATCGCTCAGTTACAACTCTCCCATGTGTCTGAGAAAAGGAGGAGTATTCCTACCTGCGCTTTCCCACCTTTAAAATCAAAGAATATAATGTATTCGGAAATAATAAAAAATGCTATACACCAAATGCCCACGTCCATCATTTTACTGCGGCAACTTAACAAAAGTGTGCGTTGAATTTTTTGCTGAAAAAGCCCAAGAGTGACTACAATAGTCGTTTCTGTTTTTTTTGTACAGTCACCAAGCAAGCCTGCTTTAAATGGAGATTGTACGGAACTTAATTGTGTCTATATCCTTTCTTTTCGGCTGCCGGCATTATGGACAAATTTAAGGCATTCTAGCAGACTCTACTAGATGGTTAGATCGTCTAATCGGTATTGGAGAGCTCGAAAGTCGTTTTTCCATATGTAAACTAAACCTTCGAAGGTACTATTTAGATGAGATCTTTGTCATCGTCTACGGGGGCTAGTTGAAACTATTGAGAAGTTACCTTCCCTCAAAGGCAAATGGATAGGTCCAACCTCCAACTAACCTATCGCCAGGCTACTGTTGGTGCCTAGGCGGGACTAATTCTCTTGCTCCTACGCTGCTTAGGATTAATGCTGTGATGCTGAGTACCCACCCACAATGCCAGCTTCAACTTTTTGCCTGACAAGTTACTTTTTTAGGAGACATTGCTCTTCTCCGCTACTTATTACTTCTTATATTTCTCATTCGTTGTGAGTTACTTTGCAAATCTCTGATATTGTCATACTTTCGGTTGTCTCTGCGAATAGACGGACACCGTTGGCGGCATGAGTCGTCAGTCTGTTGATTCTGGAACAGCATTAT